CTCTCAAAAAAATAGAAATAGAACTGCCATGTAATCCAGCAATCCTACTTCTGGGTGCATACCCAAAGGAAATAAAATCACTATCTTGAAGAAGATATCTGCATTCCCACGTTCACTGCAGCATTATTAGCAATAGCAAAGATATGGAAACAACCTAAGTGTCCATTCACAGATGAATGGATAAAGAAAATGTGATATATATATTATATATAATAGGATGTTATTTGGCCTTAAAAAAGAAGAAAATCCTGCCATTTTCGACAACATGCATGAACCTGGAGGACATTATGCTAAATGAAACAAGCCAGATGCAGAAAGACAGATATTGTAAGATCTTACTTATATGTAGAATCTAAAAAAGCCAAACTCATGGAAACAGAGAGTAGAATGGTGGTTACCAGGGGCATGAGGTGGGGGAAAGGGAGAGACATTGGTCAAGGGGTACAAACTTACAGCTATAAGATGAATAAGTTCTGGAGACCTGATGTGAGCATGATGACTATAGTTAATAATAATGTATCGTATACTTGTTTGTTAAGAGAGGAGTAAGTATTCTTGCCACCCACATACACAAGGGTAACTATGTGAGGTGAAGGGTATGTTAATTAGCTTGATCATGGTAATCATTTCACCACGTAGGTGTATATCAAAGCATCACCTTGCATACCTTGAATATATATTTTTTGTCAATTATACCTCAATAAAGCTAAAAAATTGTGAAATATATAGATAAGAGTGTATATAATATGTATACACAGTGAAATAAGAAAAATTACTCTTATTTTCCTGGTTCAGAAATCCAGCATTACCAGTACTTCAGAATCCCTGCCTTGTTTGTACCTCCTTGGTTTTTTTTCAAAAATTTTTTATGGATATATAATAGTTGTACATACTTTGGGGATATGTGTGATACTTTGATACATATATACAATATGTAACGATCAAATCAAGGTAATTGAGGTATCCATCACCTCACACATTGGCCTTTTCTTTGTGTGGGGAACCTCCTTGTTTTATCCCCATTTCTCTCCCCCAGTGGTCACCACTATCCTGACTTTCATATTAGTCATTTTCTTACTGTGCGTAAGGATTTTTTTTTAATTATTAATTTTGAGATAATATAAATTTGCATGCAGTTGTGTGCCCTCCAGTTTCCTCCAATGGTAAATCTTACAAAACCTTAACTACTAGCAATCACTAATTTTTTTCTCCATTTTTATAATTTTATCATTTCAAGAATGTTATAAAAATGGAATCATAAAATACATAAACTTTGGGATTGACTTTTTTCACTCCACATAATTCTCTTGAGATTCTTCCAACCTGTTGCTCGTCACCTAACGGTTTTAACATATATGTTTGTATTCCTAAATAACATATTGTTTTATCCGCTTTAAAAAATAATTTGAGGCTGAGCACGGTGGCTCATGCCTGTAATCCTGGCACTCTGGAAGGGCAAGGCAGGAGGATCGCTTGAGCTCAGGAGTTGGAGACCAGCCTGAGCAAGAGCGAGACCCCCCCATCTCTACTAAAAATAAGAAAAAAGTAGCTGAGCAACTGAAAATAGAAAAAATTAGCTGGAGGTGGTGCACGTCTGTAGTCCCAGCTACCTGGGAGGCTGAGGCAGGAGGATCGCTTGAGCCAGGAGTTTGAGGTTGCTGTGAGCTAGGCTTACACCACAGCACTCTAGCCTGGGCAACAGTGAGAGACTCTGTCTCAAAAAAATATATATATATATTTGAGTCTTATACAATTTTTCTGTAATTTGCTTTTTTCATTCAACTATGTTTGTGATTGTGTTGCTTTATTGATGTGTGTGGCTGTGGGCTCCATTCATTTTCTTTGTATGACTTTTATTCAATTTATTCACCCAATTAGTTATTTATAGGTATTTGGGTTGTGTCTTTTTTTAGGTTGGATTTTTATTTTTTTGAGTATAACGAATGCTACTACTATGAGTATGCTTGTCTGTGACTCACAGTGCATAAGTGTAAGACTTTTTCTAGATTAGCAATGTGGAATGGAATTTCTGGCTCCTTTTAATATGTGTATGTTCCATTTTACTAGATAAAGTCAAACTCTTTGCAAAATATTTGAATCCATCCACACACCCATTAGCATTGTGTGAATGGTCTCATTGCTTGATATCCTCACCAATACTTGGTATATTCAGACTTTTTAAATTTTGCCAGTCTGATATGAAACAGTATTTCATCTTCATTTTAATTTGCATTCTCCTGTTTATGAATGAGATTGAGCAACTTTTTATATGTTGGTGGCCATTCATATTTTCTCTTCCTGGAAATGTCTTTTCTTGCCTTTTGCCATTTTTCTATTGAGTTTGTCTTTTTCTTACTGATTCGTAAGAGTTCTTTACATACTCTAGAGTCTAATCATCTTTAACATAGATATGTTACAAAAAGTTTTCTCAGTTTGTTGCTTAGCCTGTCATTCTCCTTACTGTATGTTTGGATAAACAGACATTCTTAATTTTTCTGCAGTCATATTTATCAAATCTTTTCCTTTATGGTTTGCTTTTGGGTTTTATTTAAGAAATTCTTCTGTATCCTATGGTCATAAAGATATTCTTCTGTATACATACGTATGTGTATTCACACACGTTTAAATGTTTAATGCACCAGAAATTGCTATGTGTGTGCATTATTCAATCTCCTTTGTTTTTCTTCAGCTGGATAACCACTTGTTCCAGTTCCACGGATTGAATACCACATCTTTCCCCGCTGCTCTGCAATGCCCTCTCCCATAAGGCAAATGTATGCATCTGTGTATGGGGCTGTTTCGGCGCTGTTAGGTACTGTGGTCTCTGTATACCAATGCCACACCATGTTAATTACCATTGGTATCCCACGGATCAAGTCTATACACCTTGTCATTCTTCAGGAGTGTTTTGACTCTTTTTTCACATGAACTTTAGAACAAGTTTATCAGGTCCCACAAAAGAGACCTTTTGTCAAGTATTTTAAAGAATTGTATTAAATATACAGATGAATTTGGGGATTTGGGGCCTCTTTTTTATTCTGAATCTTCCGATCCATTTGTATGGTAAATCTTTCCACTGACTAGTGTCTTCTTTAATGTCTTCGGATAAAGTTTTCTAATTTCATTCACAAAGAGCATGCACAATATTTTTAAAAATTTTTTGCAAGGTGCTTTGTATTTTTGTTGCTGTTGTAAATCATTTTTTTTATTAGATCTTTTATTTTTCTGACCGTTGCTGGCATGTAGAACTGTAGTTGACACACACAGATTTTTTTTATACAGTAACCTTGCTAAACTCTTATTAATTCTAATGATTTATCTATAGATTCTTTTAAGTTTTCCACATAGATGATAATACTGACTACAAATAATAATGATAGTTTTGTTTTTTCCTTTAAAATCCTTATGCTTTTATTTCTTCTTTTTCTTTTTTTCGGGAGGGTGTCTTATTGTACCTGTAAGAAAGCAGATCAAATGTTGAATGAGATGGTGACAGCAGGCAGTCTTGTCTTCTTCATGGGTGCTGGTTCCACAGGTGAATTCAGTTTGTAAAAATGTATCAAGCTGTGTACTTCTGATTTGTCCATGTTTCTAATACTGTACTATACTTCAATAAAAAGTTAAAATTTTTTCCTTTGAAATATTTTCCCAACATCCTAACGTCTCCTGATAGCCATATGCTCTTAGGATGCCACCAAGCAGGTTTGTACCTGTCTATTTTCAACCTGACTTTACATTACTGTAGAAAAGAAGTCTTAAGTGAGAACACAGATGGCTGCTTTCAAGAATTTGAAAGCGGGAGGGAGGACAGAATAAGATGGGAGATGGAAAGGCAGGAAAGCAGATTTCCACAAAGCAGAAAGAAAAGCTTTCTAACATCACTGTTGTCTAACCAGAGACTAGGCTGCTTTTTGAGATAGTGAGCTTCCTAGAACTGGAAGTATTCAAGCAGGGCTGGATACAGACCCGTCAAGGATACCATACAGGCCCCTCACGCCCCAAATTGGGTGGAGTGTGGACCATATATATGTCTCCTGTCTCTTTCAACTTCAGGCTTGAGATTTTTAAAGATTTGGGTTCATTTTTTTATCCTTTCAGGAATGCTCTATCAACTCCTTTCATAATACTTAGAAAACCGACCTTATAATAGAGAAAAGTCAACAAAAACAAAAGCTGGTTCTTTACATATGTTAACAGTATTGATAACCCTCTATCAATTCTGATCAAAAAAAAAAGAGAGAGAGAGAGAGAGAAAACACATTAAAATTCCTTTCTCCCAAAGAAACACTTAGCAAATACAGCAGGTGGGCGCCCAACAATCATGGAATAAAAGTGTAGTTATCTCTGTTAGTTTTCATCCCTAAACCCATAAACTTTGCGTTGCTTTTGAGGTTTCTAGCCTTTTATCCCACCATTCTATAAGCTTTTCAAATAACGGAAATAGACAAAGTTGTCCAGGAATTCATTGATTTGACATCAGGCAAAAGAAGAAAAAAAAAAAAAAGCTTTATTAGTGGGGATGACTGCCTCTTTTATAAAATAAGGAATTTTGAAGAAGTGAAGTTTTGAAGATTTTTAGAGATGGGGGAAAAATTCTGTGATTTCTTAGGTTTACTTTATTTTTCACTCTTTCATTCAACCCAAGTTTCTTCTTTCTAGCAAATCTCGTTTGTTGGCAGATAAAAATACATGTGCAGAGTCTCCCAGAAGCTGCGCCATCAGCCTCACAGACAAGAAAGAAGCCTCGTTTTCTTGCGCCGCTACAGAAATGTGTTCCTTCTCCTCCTCCTCCGGCTCACCGGGATCAAAGTCTTTTTCATTCTTAGTTGGTTTTCCTCAGCGAAAATCTGGAGTCCAGAGTTCAGTCCAGAGAGGGTGACTCCCCCCGAAGGCCGACTCGGAGGCATGGCGCTCCTGTCCCCTTCGCAGCCCCGGGAGAGCTGCGCCCGGGCTGCGCGCTCGGAGAGAGTACTCCAGCCACGCCAAGAAATCCGTTACCAGGCTGCTGTGTCCCCAAGGGCCATTCCAAGGCGGAAGAGGACAGGGAAGACCGCTGTGTAGATTCCCGGGTCCCGTGGGCTGGGCGCGCGGCGGGTCAGGTTACAGACAGGTGAGGCTGGCTGTTGGGTGAGCTGCGGGCGCCAAGGCACCCCGGGCCAGACACGCCCCCGCAGCCCCCAGCAGCTGGCACGTGTCTGATTACGTCCTGGAGGAGGGCGACCGCTGCGACCCAGGAGGCTGTGCTGGTTGTCTTGGGCACACCGGAACAGGGCCTTGGGAAGGGCAGCGCGATCCCCAACGTGGGCACATTTGTTTTAGAAACTTGGCATCTTTTACCAAACTCCCCTTACTTCTCTCCCTCTCCCCTCCAGGCATGGATAGGAAAAGACAAAAATAAAAAAAATTCAAAGCTTTCCAGCCACATCCCCGGTAGGTGCGGCGAGAAGGTGTAGTCAATCTTCACTTTACTGGCTTCCTGGAAAGGTATTTCCCAGACCCAGAATTTGGGGATTGGGTGGTTAGGGGAGGCTATAGTGGGAGTGGGCGAGGAATGGAGGCGTGTTTCGAAGCTGCGTTTGCATAACATGCACTTGGCTTTTGTTTCTATTGCGTGTTTATTTGGGGCGATGGGGTTTTGAGGTGCAATGTCTTGGGGTGGAAGCTGCTTTGGCAGAGCAAACCTTGTTTTTCTTAAGATTGTATGATACAAATCAGTAAAATAACGTGTTCTAAAGATGCTGAATTTTAAAATTTATCTTTATTATGTTTATTTGGGGGGCTGTTATAGCGGATGCGGAGCTCAAGCCCCCAAGTCCCCCTTTATCAGATCAGAGTGCTGGGGCGTCTCCCCTCACGCTCCCCGCCCCCGTCTCCGCCTCCCCCTTTCGACTGCAGAGATTTCAGATTTCACCAAGCCCCAGGAACGATCCGCAGGAGGAACTGAGCCATTTTCTGGCTTGCTTGTCGGAGACAAATCCACGGGGGGGGCGGGGGGAGCTCGTGGAAGGCCCCAACTAGCGGGGGCGGGGGGTGCCCTGGGAGGCGGACCTGGGGTTTACCTCGAAGAGTTCGCCCCGAGGTGCATGCGATAGGGGAATGGGGCGGGGGGTTGATTAAAAAATGTTCTTCCTCTTTTTAAAAAGGGGAGGGGGTAAGAACAGACTTTAAATTCTTTTGCAAACATTCATGCCTAAGGAAGGGCTGAAACAGGCAGCCCCGGCCGCCGGAACCGGTCGGACAGGTAGCGAGCTTGTTGACACCGTTATGTTGCAGAGCGCATGCTCGCTCCTAAGTTTCCTGGTGCCTTTTCTATTCCACCTTATGAAACTTTTTCCCCGGCGTGGTCTCACCCGCGATTTAAGGCATAGGTGTCGCCGAGCCGGAAGGCTGGGAGTCGCTAAGCGAGCGGGGGAGAGGCCTGGGCCGCGTCGCGGCTGGGGGTGGAGAGAGAGGGCAGGCGAGGCGGGAAGGCGGGCTCCGGCCGCCGGGAGCCGGGTACCAAGCCGCCGCCGCCCCTAGCGGGGAGCAGCTGGGAGGAGGGGGCTGCAGTCGGGAAAGGGGACCCCACCATGCCCAAAGTCTTCCTGGTGAAGAGGAGGAGCCCGGGGGTCTCGGTCCGCAGCTGGGATGAGCTCCCGGATGAGAAAAGGGCAGACACCTACATCCCAGGTGAGCGCTGCGCGGGGGCCGGGCCTGGGCGCTGGGCTCCCGGGTGGGGGAAGGGTGGCGGGTCTTCTCTGCTCCTCTCCCGGGGCTGGACTCCCCACCTCCTCCTCCTCTTCCGAGGGACACGCAGGGGTCTTCCAGGCGGGGGAGGGCGGGGAGTGAGAGGCTGGGAAGCCCGAGACGTTCGGCGCCCCCTTCCCCCGAGCGAGAGCCTCTAATTGCCCGGCGGCGGGACCGTTGGCTGCAGCGCGGGCTGAGGTGGCCCAGGAAGGGGTTGAAAGCCAGCTGGGGCTACCTCTGATCGCACGTTCTCACGAGGGTGCACAAAGGTCCACCAGCCCCTCTGAGGCTAGCTGGAGAGAGGTCAGACACGCCTACCCCGCCCGGAGAGAAAACTTGGCGCGCGGGGTCCTCGGCCACGCATGGCCCTCAGTTCCTCGTGGGCGCTGGGGCTGGCACTGAGGGCTCATGCTGAGGAGCGGCCTCCAGCACCCCAAACTAGCTCGAGGGGCCGAGCGGGGGCCTACTAGCCCACCCCCGCGACCTTGCCCACTTGGCGAGGTGCCCAGGTCCGGGGCGGGGAGGCGGCGGCACCGCCCGCAGGTCAAACTGCCGCGGGCGTCCGAGCCTGACGACGCGTGTGTGTGTCGGGGCGCGGCCTCTCTCTCCGCAGTGGGCCTGGGCCGCCTGCTCCACGACCCCCACGAGGACTGCCGCAGCGACGGCGGCAGCAGCAGCGGCGGCAGCAGCAGCAGCAGCGCGGGGGAGCCTGGAGGCGCCGAGAGCAGCTCGTCCCCGCACGCCCCGGAGCGCGAAACCCCCGAGCCCGGCGACGCCGAGGGCCCGGATGGACACCTGGCGGCGAAGCAGCGCCCGGTTGTCAGGTCGAAAATCAAGGTACGGTGTCGACTCTGCCCCTGCCGCCACCTGCACCACGCCCTGGCGTCAGGCTCCCGGGGCCCGCGCCCCTCCCTGCCGCGCCCGCCCGCGTACCCAGGCATCCGCCGCGCCGCTCCTGCACCTGCCCCTGGGCGGCGGCCAGGTCGCCTCGGCGCGTCCTCCCGCAGGCTGGGTAGCCGCCCGCGCTGCTGCGCCGGCGGCCGGCTCTGAGAGCGGACTTGGTCCGCCTGAAGCCTGGTGCCTAGTGTGGCCTCTGGAACTGCCTAAAAGACTCAGACACAGGCACCTTCCTCCAGCAGCCCATTCTGTGCACAAGGCTTGAAGAATAACCAAGCTGTCGGGGTTCTTGGGATCAGAAAGGAGGGACCCAGGCTCTCGGAAATTCCACCCTCTGGGATGCAGTTCCTTGCGCCTTGTGATTCTGGGGGTTTCACACTCGTCCTTGTGTTCAGGACAGTGGCAGCAGCTTGACACATAGTAGGCCTCTCACAACAGCTGTTCCCAGTGCCTGTTAGACAGGAGGTCTGTGCTTGGCACATTCGATTTGTCATTTCTCTCAAATCTTCTTGAATTAAATTGGTGGTAAGAGGGTTCAACTGCAGATTTCTTTAGCGCCTCTACCCCAATGGATTGGAGTGTCTGTTCTTCCCTATGGTCGCGCTTCGGGGGATCCCCTTGAGTATTCTGGAATTGTAGGCAACATCTTATCCCGACGCTCACCTGCGCTTTCCTGGGCAGAACTTCCCTGATGGCCTTACTCAAAGGTATCCGCTACCCTCCAAGATTAAGGAATCCTATTCCACTGACTCAGCTGGAGCTGGGGTAGGGAGTCGGGGGGCGGGGGGGTAAGAATCACATGACCCAGTTCCTAGGCTAGTGGGCCATAGTGCGACGCTGTGTGCGCTGAAGGCCCTCGGTATAAGTGGTAATTCCAGGGTGTTCCAGTGCGTACCCGCCACCCAGGCCGGGTGTAGAGTATAGCGGGGAGGGAAAACCCTGGCGTTTGCGGCGGATTGAGAAAGCAGCGCGCATTTTCCTGGGAGAGGCCATCCCTCCCCTATGCACATTCCTGGTTCCCAGGGTTTGCCTCCGGGGTGGGCCCCGGCGCATTTGGTTATGAATTGAGGTTTGAGGCTTGATCTGGAATCCGAAGGAAAAGATCTCTTTAAAGGATGCCGCCGGCACTGTGCGGGCTAGCTGCTTAGCAGTAAGTGTGAGGCTTAGGTTCAAAGTCAGCTGGCCTGAGGCTTTTCTGGGCCCGGTGGGGTTAAGTGGGAGGGAATTGTTTGCCTGAGGCTAGTAGCTTTTCCCTTCGGGAAATTCTACTGTGTCCCACTTGCATATTTATGCAAGGCTGGAAGGACAATTGCAACGTTGTTTTGGGAGTCTCCGTAGCCAATTTGCCCCTCTCTTCTCCAAATGCCTGGATTCCCCTGGAGAGAAAGTGGTAGATGAGAAAGATCCAGTCTCTAAACCAGCATTTTAGGTGATCTCTCTTTCCTGCCTGAGGCGAACAAGGCCACTGGAACGCTGGATTAAAGGAATAAGTAAACCAATTTTATTTACAAGATCTTGCGGCGGGGGGG